GGTAACTTCAGCACAACAGAAGCACAGTACTACTTTCAAAGAAAGAGTGGACTTACCAAACAGCATGAGTAATTTGATCTACCTTCTCTGATTCTTTTTTTTTTTTTAAAGGAAAGCGCTCCAAGAAGGAGTTCAGGACTGCTAACTCTAAATCAGGACTCTAAATCAGTAAAACACCTCAGAATTTTCTACTGAATATCTTATGCAGCTCCTTAATCAAATAGCTGACTGTTGTGAAACTGTTTTTAAGCAAATAACTTTTGTCTTGCACTGTATAAGCACTGATTTTGCACACGGGAAATTCAGACATAGAGTAAGCCCAACACAAATTAGTGACACAGCAAAAACTGGATTCTTCCAACTTCCTATAGTGCCACTCAGTCTTGGAGATCCTGTTCACTTCTGAACAGCGCACAGAAATAATGACATAGACAAAATCTTTGCTCTTACCTTGCTTCCAACCACCCATCCCATTTAAGAATCATGGAGGAACTACTCATAACCAAGTTCAAAAACAATGCAACATCTGTCAACATCAGAGACACTATAGTCAGGAGTCCCAGTCCCACAATTAGCACAGACAGGATAATAGCGGCAGAAAAGGACAACTTCTTTACGACAAAACCAGTGCTGGTATCTCAGAGCTCCTACCACTTGACATCCCTACTATTTTTGAAACAATCACCCATAGTGTATGGCTCCCAATTTTTATATCACAGCCAAACAGTGCTCCAGCACTACAGTATCATCACATAATTTTCATCATGATCAAGAAAATAATAATGAGCAAACTGCTGCTCTTCTCTCTGAAGAGCTTCTTGCCTCAGTGCCACTTTAGTATCCACACGAGAGTAGTACACACACAGTGAGATGCCACGGTCTCCGCAGCTATTGGAACGATGGCGTTGTCAAGCCATAGATATTATTCTCTTTGGACATAAATAATGCATCATAATGATATCATAATGTCTATAAGACAACAGCTCCTAAATGAAGAACATTTAGTTCAAACTGAAATTATCACTACCAAGTGATGCTGCTCCAAAGCAGACAAAGCACTGAGAAAAACAGCTGGAGCACAGATTCCTTTCAAGTTCTACCACTCGTATGGACAGGCTTTTCGCCTATCCCACTTGCCAAAGCATCCAGGTTCAGCTCAACTCATTATTAAGCCTACATAATTATGTATCATTAGCAGGAGGAAAAAACACCTCCAGGAAACCTGGAAATGTAATGCAGATAAGAATCAATCCAAACATCTCCTTAGCTTACTATGGTTGAATCTTGCCATACAGACAAGACCACAGTGAGCAACTCAGAAGAATCTTCTTTATCAAACAATCTCATTAAAAAACCACCAAACAATGGCCATCATTATGATCTAAAAATGCACTTGCTTGGTTTATAAATTTTTAAGTTAAAATGACAAATATTCAGCTTTGCCTATTTATACCAAGATGAATTTGAATAGTTTCCATTAGAATCAAATTTTCATTACTAAAATGTTGACTGCAGGCTTCTCTAACTGTCTAGTAAGCCTGTTTCTGCTCTGGAACAGCTAAAAACCTATCATCATCTTCATGTTCACTTGATTTTTCAAAGAAAATACATTAATATTGTGGATAGTCAACAATCACTACATTTCTCCTTACAGAATTTCAAATTCAGTATAGATATTAAGAAAACGAGTCAGAGAAAACCAAGAGGCATAAAGCTCTCACAGGACTGCACAGTGACATTTCAAAAATTGATTTGACCACCTGTATAAAAATTATAGGTAAATTGCATAAGCTGGTGGTATTTGATCTGGAATCTAGCAAATACAAGCCGTAATTTTATTATTAGCTTTGCAGATGCACATATCACTTTGTAGGTTTGTTTGTACTAACGGTCTGTTTTTCAAGAGCAGGACACTTTAAATACTAAAGACAGAAGTATTCTCTCAATTGCCATTGTTTTAAAGCATATAATGATACTTCTCGAGGTCTGTAAAGAATAGAGTTGCATAATAAAACATCCCCTTCTGGGATGGAGTCTATAGCAAAAGGGAAAAGAAACCCTGCAGACGTGACCTCGAGGCATCTCCATATATCAAGTCCTCATGTTATAAAGGATTTCAAACATGCACAATAGAAAGGAGAATCACATATCAATTCCGGTATCATTCTTATTCATGCAGAAGCTAACCTGTTCCCTATCCACCTTCCAAGGCCTCTCCCCTAGAAATGCAGCTTCTTCAAGCTCTTTGCTGCCACTGACCCCATAAAGCAGTATATTAATAGCCAAAGACAGCTGAACAGAAATTAGTATTACTTCAAAGAGCATTAACTTTTCATTAGATATCCAACTGATAATCTCCATTTCACAGACGAGAAACAGGCTTGAATTTTACTCCCAGCCACACCTTAAAGGTAACCTACAGCTCTCATCTTGCTGAGGTGCCGCAAAGGAGTTTCTGCCTGGACCTCTATTTCTATTCTGCTCAAAGAAGCAAAGGGGATGGCTTTCCTGCTGCAAAGCAATATTAGAACACAAAAGGAAGAGAAATAAGTTGTAGTTAAAAAATTGTTTTCGTATGACACTTTCATATTCCTATCCTCCTTAAGAGTTCTATGTCATATTGTGGATTCTCTGTGGGTATAGGCAATGACCAGTACACAATCAGTAAACATGAACTAGACATAGAACAAATCTTAGTTTGATAAGAAATGTTAGCCAGGCCTCTGGAGTTATTCCCTCATTCCTCTAAAAATCTTCTGCAAAATCTTTAACTCTCAGGTGTCCAGCAAGCAGAAACGGATTGAAAAGAAAGGAAAAAACTTTCAGTTTAACCTCCCAGGTGGATGCACAATTGTCACCTAGGTCCTGCTTTAACAGTGTTTCCTCCTGAAAGGAAGAAATATAGTATTGCCCTTTTAGAGATGGGATTATGCAATCAATATCTCAATATAGTCTTGGGGTATACCTGTTCTAGGCTAGCCTAGCAGTACCTAGATGGCAGCCAGTTCTTGCTAGTTCTAATATGTTTGTACAGTACCCTATTATGTGCAAGGGGATTTCTCCAGTATAATATTAATATATAAAAAAACAGATGATCTTTAATGAGCAAATCATTTACCTATATATATGTCTTCAACAAACAATGTGGAAACTTAAAAGATTTTGTGATTTTGGAAAAATGTTGGTGATTCTACCAGTGTTTCTTCTTTTAAATATAAATAACGCATCTCCGGCTATTGAGAACATTTGAATCTTTCATATTATTTCAAGTGACATTATTGTAGTAAATAACCAATAGTGTCTGAATTTAAGATTCGAATTGAATATTCATTCACTTTAGTCAGAAATATGGTGAAATGTGATCAGTTTTCTGACCTATTTTGAAATTGGTATTCCGCCAACTGGCATTTTATTTGCACATCCAGATATTATCCACCATATGCTGACATGACATGATGATTGGTTCCAAAATGAAGTAGACTATTTGGCAAATAGGAATATATGGTACAAATAATACACTGACTCTAGTCAAAAAAGGATTTTGAGAAGACTAAGGTATTTTAAAATAACTTTAACATACACACTGCACAGTGCCACACAAAAGCTCTCTAGGTCAGGTATTTTACAGGTACATGGCTCTCAAATTTATGACATTATGTCCTTACAGAAGAAGATTCAAATTTGACACAACAATACTAACTGTACTACTGTAATGAAAGATTAATTTGCATCTTAGGCAGAATTTGGCCCACATAGCTTCTTCCTCCTCTGGATTCACTAACTCTTCCTTCTTGCCATCTGCTCTTCTTTTCCCACTGCTCTGACTTGTCTGCCCTCCTCGTGATGTCTAAGTTATCTGTCTCTCCCAAATTTAGATCACGTTCCATTCAAGCTCGTTTAATTCTGTTTTATTGCTCCTAACATTTTTCCACTGAACTCTTCTTATTCTCCTATCTTGATGTCTCTGTTACACTTCTGCCTTCTTTTCTGAACTGTATAATCTCTGGAAAAACACTCTTGTTCCTAAAGAGAAAATCTCCTAACTTTGCTCTTTCAATTCCTGTTTCCAAAGCAGTATTTCTGATTTGCTTTCCTGAAGTGACTTCCATGTGCGTGCTCTCTAACGTAAAGCCTCAAAACCATACATACCTGGTTGACGGATTATGTGTTTTGCTGTAGCCCTCTTTTTCCTTTTCTTTGTTTCCACGTTCTTTGCCCAACTTAGAAAGTAAGCTTTTGCCTATTTTTAATCTCTGTAAAGCATCATGTAAAACTTTACTGTGAAATTAGCAACAATAATAAAGTATGGGGACAAGGCACACAAAATATTAATTCAGATTTATAGGTGAGTCCCTTTAGGTTCTTTAGGTAGGTCATGTGCTGATGCTGCTAATCACATATTAAAAACTAAGCAATCGCTTAACTGTTGGCTGCGTTAGGGTTGCAACACACTGTGTCTGCTACATTATTTTATGAGGCTGGTACCTTTTTCATATTATTTTAATTATTCTTTCTTTCTCTAACAGTAAAGATTCTGCTTCTCTGATGTTGCATCCTTTAATATTAAATATTGTCTGCTTTGCTGTAATGAAATCTAAAAGTTTTTAGGTGGTACATTAATTTACCATTGCATTTCTTAAGGAATTTTGCTTTTCTGTTCTTTGCGGGGAAGGGGACAGAGGGAGTCAATATAAAAAGAAAATATCTCTCCATAAAAGTTTAACTAGATCTCAGAATGAGTCATCTAAATAGCACATATTTCTGATGTTTATACATAAAACTGCAAGCTTTGTTTGTGAAACATAAATGGATTTCAGTACTTAATGCATCACCTTCACCCCTTGGGAAAACCTGAAGAGGACTGAGTCTATTTTAAAATAATATTCTTTTTCAGAATAAAAAATTGTAATACATATGAGCCATGTTTCTTCTTGTAACCATTTAAGCATGATAATTTAGAAAAGTGAAGGATTTGTAAACAAAGAGAAGAATGACCTTACCAGCATGCAGATATGCCAGATCAGGATTTTCAATGTCTGGGTGCAGTTCTTTCAAGTGGTTACGAAACTCCACTGGAATATTCGTTCCATAGTCACATTTAGGACAGTTATACATTTTTACTCCTTCATGCTTTCCTGTATGTAAGATGTGTTTACGGATATTTTCAGCACAGTTGGACCTAAAAAGTCAGGAAAAAAAGAAACAAGTTAGTTATATAATAATCTGCTCACTACTAGACATTTAAGTACGGGCTGAAAATAAAACCTGGTGCTACGACAGAAAATGAGCAGAGTCATTGCTAAAGCTAAATTTCTACAGTCTGCCCAATTCTCGTGTCCCCTTGAGTTTTCTATGAAAGTTGTCCTTTGCACGAAAACTCCCAAAGCTGTTTCAGATTAAGTGAGCAATATGTCTAAAGAAGCAGCATTTAAAAATGAAAAATTTCACATTTGCACATGTTGTACAATTTTTATTTTTCTGGTTGTCGGTGATGGACAGAAAGTAAGCAAAACTCCTTACCTCAGCAAAACTGATTTTTATTTAGGCATTCTGAGCTCTAGGCCCTTAATACAGCCCAGCTACAGAGAGGCCTAGATACCTGTAACGTTCTCGGTGGAGTTCATCTGAACCTTTGCTTCACATTCCTAGACTTCACAGGTGGCATTGTGACTGATTTTTATAAGGATGTTCCACCACCTCTTATCTCATCTTCCTCGTGATCACATAAGAAAAGAAAAGGGACTTTTTCAAGTTCACACCTTTTTCAAAATATAAACATATTCTGATTTATATCTGAAACATGGGTTCTGTGTCGGGAGTTGAGTTTTCATGTATAATTCAGGACACATATACAACTAGTTTTATGCACTTCAAGGAAATGCTATTTCTCAGAGCAATACTAAACACATAATATTAATATTATTTCTGAAAAAAAGTGAAAAGAAACCTTATATTTCATCCACAGAGATCCATGATATGAGAATAATTTTTAACTTCCAGACTTTAAAATTTTGCATTCTCCAAATTTATTTTACATTAGAATTCACTAATTATGCAAAGTCTCTGATGAAGCTTATATACTATATACCGCTTTCTAAGTTCTTTCTGAGCAGAAACAACCAGTATATTTCTTCTTGAATCAAAATAATTGCCTGTGTACAATAATTTATTTTTATAGACTTTCTTAGTATTATACCCTATTAATGGTGGCAAACTAAGAACATTAATCCAGTTAAACTAAAAAAAAAAAAAGAGCTGATACACCTAAATATATAATGCTTAACAAATATTTAAATAAGCCAGCAGTAGTATCCTGAGTAACTAATTGTCTATGTGTTACTGTTATGGATACCACTGTAAAAGGCACCTAAGAAAAGATCCCCAAAATAAACTGGAAGTAGCAGCTTGAAGTTCTGTTGGAGCGCTTGTCTCTCCCTCGGAGATGGTCACAGTAAAGCTGATATCTGCCTTACGGTGCTGCCAAAGCTCACCCTCTGTCATGTCCATCTGCTATATAACAGTATAATGATCAGACTCTTGAGAATGTCAGAGAAGACACTTATGTTCCCCGAAAAATATGAGAAAGCTTGGTCCTCAGCATCTTTCAGGATTCAGCCCTAAAAAAGTTATAATGCTCATAAATGTTGTTAAAGTGAGATAGGTATTTTATAAAAACAATGGATAGTGTTCATTGCAATGAAAGCAGGAGACAATCTGGTAACCTTCTACCATGAGTTAAACTTTAAAGGGCAGTGAATTAAAATAGAGAGCACAAATTTGAAATAAAATGTCTATGTCCTTTTAGCTCAGCTATCAGACTATGTTAAGGAAAGATATAAAACTTGTTTTTACTTTGAAATAGTTCTGTGAAATGTGTAAAGGATCTGTGGAAATCCATGTACAAGTTGTGAAGAAAACCCAGACTGTTCAAGTCATAAAAGGCCAGTCCTATCTCCTTTCATCTGTGAATTTGCTCCAACCACTTTAAATGGAGCAATCCCAAAGTCTCATTTATTTAACCATAAGTAAAAGTCTGTGACTAAGTATATCAACATACTGATATATTCATCACAGGAAAGTGAAGTTAAAAAAAAAATTCTGTGTGAAATGAATCTGGAAAGGCTTAATAACAAATGAGGAATTAAAGATCACAAGGTATTACAAATGGTCTCTTGTATTAGGTTGTAGTGCAGGAATTGTAATCATAAAGTAAACCAAGAAGGCAACAACTGGTTAGTCCAAGCACTTTTGAAGCCACGTAATACCTTTAAATATGACATGACAAAAATGCACTGTTTTTTATTTTTTTTTAAATTATTCCGTGTGCTTTGACTGCCTGTTTCATTAGGAGTCTTCTCCTGAGTACTGTAGAAGTATGTTATTATAAGTCCGACATAAAAAAATACCAAAAGTCTGTGTATGTGTGTACTTACATCACTTCATCTCATACGACTAAACACAGAGGCCTCTGATTTTAAGCAGCAGTGTATTTTCATTAAAGTTATAGGATGAAAAACATCTAACTAAGATATTATGGCATGGCAATAGTAATGACAATTAAGCATCTGATAGGCTTTGTGTTACAAACTTCACTTCCAGGAGTTTATAAACTTTGAGATAAAGATTCCCTTTGTCTTCATTTGGCAATGAAAATCTCAGCCCAAAATAAATTGTTTGAATAAAGTCCTTCTGCTTTTAGAGTTCCACTGTGAATTTCCGTAGCAAACCAATTAAGTATGTGAAATCCTGTGAAATAACAGGATGAGCATTCACTCTAGAGGGTTAACTAATCTGAAGATATAGTCTATGGATTTGCATTCAGTGCTGATACACAGAAGCAGAACAGAAATGTCCCTTTTCTTGTATCATTTCTTGCAGTGAGTCTTCCTATCCGAAATGATGAAAGGTTTAAGAGACTTGTTCCAAACTCCATGACAATCCTGTGCAAGGGAAATGGAAGGCTTTCATATAGTTTTCAGCATCCTATCAGTGCTATAAGATGGTGAGAAGGGAGATGGGACATATTCCTAAGGCGTGTTGCAGATGAACAGGAACTGTGAGGAGCTGAAAAACTCAGCCCTTAATTCTCATGCCACAGTCCTGTTGGACTTCCTCCACTGAGGACTGGCATGTTGGCAAGGGTGTAGACCCACTTTCCACTCACTGCACATGTCTGGGAGAGCTCCTGCTATACGTAACTTCTGTAAAGGACAATCCTGTGAAGCAAGGGAGAAGGATGGCAAGTTTCTTCCAAGAAACGCGGCTACAGCTAAAGAAGAAAGGAAAACCTCTTTCCAGCTGAAGTTAAAAAAAGGATTTTATCTCTGATGCAAACGCACAGCATTCCATGCACCCAAAACCAGCTCCTATCGCTGTTCAAACAGCACATTGCGTTTTGCCCTTAGAAGTCAGTTCCTATCTATCAGTTATTTGTCTTTCTTTTGTTGCTCCAAATTAAAGGTTGCTGCATCTTCAAATATCACAAACAGGAAATGACTTGTCAATTGTAAAGCTGTACTTTCTTCAACATGTACAACACATGCAAGGTAGAATTAACCTAATTTTGATGCTTTGTTGCTTTGCAACCAAATCTCAGAATACTGGTAAACACCTAGAGAGGAACTGCACATCACAGCAAAAAGAGCTGGGTAGGTATAATAACCCGGAGAGATACTCAGCTTCAGTGGACACCTCCAGTTGCATACTACAACCAGCTTCAAAGCTTCTCCGCAGTGGGGCTAAAACCAAACAACTTGGTTATTCTTCCAAGGATGGGAACAAAACAGTTTACTCAGCTTTTCCGCAGCAACTGCGCTTGCACAGGCAGCACACATAAACTGACGTGGAAGCCCAGTGGTGGCAGGTGGCCCCCACCCTCTTTATCCCAGTCCCGTCTGCTTCTCAGCTGCACTGAGCTGCTTTCCTGGGAGAGTGGAGTGGAGAACAGGGGAAGTTTAGGAGTAAAACAAAATGCCTGCACATTTTGTCAGCATGAGAAGCTTCTGCCGTTGTTTGCCGTGTCTTCCCACTCCCATTGCCTCACTCCTACATTCATATAGCACTTTTGTTACCAAACAATAGGGAATTGAGCTAAGAGCATAGTCTACGACATAGTCTACGACAGTGGAAAAATACATGTTCCTAGTGCACAGAGCAAAAGCTCCCTTAACTGCCTTCCTCCCTAAACCAGGAAATATGATTTGTTCATCTGACCCCTAAAAGTAGTGTAACTGTCCTTACACATACATTTGCTCACTATACCTGCACTGGCAAACTATAGCGTGCCACTGACCGGACTCCTCAACAACTCTAGGTCTTCCCCATTGAAACCAGGAGCACTGTCGGAGGCTCTGGGACAGCAAGGCACAGACCTGAACTTTCATATCGGCATATCGGCAGCAGGGAAACGCAAGAGGAAGGATGAGCCTTGGAGGGAGTTTGTGCCAAGCGAGGATGGTTGGCGTGAAGGTCCCCACAGTGAGTCCCAGATGTGGTTGTAGTCCCCTCATAACCTCTTCCTTCTCTCTCATCCTGCTGGGCTCAGCCTGGCAGCCCCTCACAGCCTGCCTCGAGAGTGAGTGGTACATACTGTATGAGGGCAAGCTTCGGGCATCACCTCTCCCTGGAGAGGAGCTCAACTCTGGTCTTGTGGCTGGCAGGAGAGGGTCACGCTATGCCCTCCTCCCAGCCAGCTGCACTGATTCTGGCAGGCCAAGTAAACAGAATAATTCAGTAGCTTATGGCAGGGCTGTCCAGTACTGGAGATATTTGCTGTCCTCATCCTTTTTGTCTCATCTTTGACAAAATTCATGAAATAAGAGAAATTCATAAAATATCTATTAATTCTAAACTAACTGACGCAGAGTGGAAGTGATTCTATATTTTCAAAGGTTTTGTACATGATAATAATATTAGCCCTTTATTCAACAGCTAAATGAAATACAGTAGGAAGCAACCTATTTCTATTATGATGTTTTACTAATAGGAACCTGAAATTGGAACACTCTTCCATTAATGCAGTGCCTGACATTTTCAGAAAGATGCTTACTACAAGACATGGAAATAGAAGGTTTCAGAGGTGCAAATAAGCCAAAATGTTAATTAACTAGCCCACTAAGTTTTAAATATTTTAGCATCTTGCAGGGCTCATATGTGCACAAAAATGAACTGCTTTCCAAA